ATTTATCAATACCGTATTTTCCGCACTATAGGGAGCTCTGGATTATAAGGCGCACTGTCATTAAATGGTCTATTTTCTAACAACTTTTTTCACAAATAAACCGCACCGGACTTTAAACGAAACAACAGTTTGATGGGTCAGTGGGACTTTGTTTGGCGCGTTCACGGTGACTCTCAGGTTTGTTCAGTTGTGGCGTGTAGGGAGGGTGCTGTCTGGGACCGCTGGATTGTCGGCGTGTTTCAGTGACTCAGTTGTTCAGTTGTGGCTAAAAGTGGCACATTGCACTCGCTTTTTCGGTTCGTTCCTCCGTTCCGTTCCTCGTCCGCGTGGAGTGATGAGTTTGGCTGCGGGTGTGTTTCGCTGCATGGTCGCTGTCTGCTCCGTGCGTGTTTGCGCTGCGAGTGGTGCGGCTTTGTAGTTTACTGAAGTCGTGCTGGGACACCTGAGTGGATTCGTGTATGCGCGCCCCAGAATCCAGAGCGCCCTAGTCGTTTTTTGATGGGGTTGGGGGCTTAAGAGCTCGCCCTATAGCCCGGAAAATACGGTAATTACTTCTAATAATAGTCATCGACACCTTCAAGAGAACACAATTGTATGAAATAGTATAATTTATTATTAAAAATCCATTTGGAATTCAACCATTTTTAATTGTGCAATGAAGTATCACAATATATCACTGAATCGATTTTTTTCCTTACACCCTTACTTCATACACAGTGATCAGTTTGGAGCTTTTTAATCGGCAGGTCTACAGCCGTCTATGGTAGAGTGGAGTTCAGAATTTGAAGTCTTGGCAAATTTCAAGTCAGGAAGCTTATTATTAAAAGCCATATCTAGGCTTTCAAGAGAAAAAAATTGCAATCATACATTAACATTCAGTCATTTCTAATTTATAATGAGGTCTATTTAAAAGTGCACTCTAACTTTTCTGATGGAAGGTTTGTCAAATGCTTTTCTCCATGGAGATGTTGGTGCATTGTCTGGAATATTTCACCGTATGGTTTAAACTTTTCTATCTTCATGGAGACCAAACCAGACCAAGTTACAGGTCAGATCTGTGGGGACGCGACCACAGCCTCAGCTCAGTCAGAATGCCTGTTTTTCAAGGTATTTTTGAGCTACAAAACCACTTGTAATTGAATAAATGTAAGATAGAGATGTTTAATGTCATGGAGCAATGACTTATATCTATAGAAACAGACCAGAAAGTTACATAGTGCACCTTTAAGACATGTTATAATGTTATTACCTCCTCAAAAACATACTTAAGTTGCGTTTTTGTTTTTTTTGTTTTTTCCACACATTTGAGAAATCATTTTTTGGTATTATTATTATTATTTTTTTAATTCTGTTCCACTTTATGATGTCATGAAAAGGTAGTTTTCAAGTTAACAGCTACTTTTTTACATTTTGTTCAGTAGACATTGGCTATTTCCGGAGCTGAAATCATCCAAATGATTCTAGTGAAGGTGTATGGAGTTTGAAAACGCATTGGAGCACTTCCTGTATTACCGCATGACATCACAAGGTGAAACAGAGTATTTTCTTTTTGAGAGAAGAACTCGGCCTAAATATTCAGGTTTGTGTGTTAAATGTGTGAATGAAACAAAACACAACTCCAAGTCTGTTTTTGATGAGGAAAGACTATAACATAGATCAGAAAGCAGAGTAATATGGGCCCTTTAAAGTGCGCTTGAGGGATGATGCAAAACTGATTTCGCTCGGTAAAAAGAATCATTTGGGAGGTGGTAAACAGTAATTAGCTGCAGAGATTTGGAGAGAGCGTTTAGCTAATATTTGAGGCTAATATTGAGGAAAATGGCAGGGTTAGAAGACTGGCAGTTTTGAGGATATAATGGGCACGCTGACAAGAGATGATTTGGGGGTTAAATGAAATCCATGAATGCATCCAAGAAATCTCTGAAGCATAATCACTTATAAGAGGGTAGGCATTAGGGGTGTAATGGTGCATGTGTTTGTGCTGAACTGGCTCGGTGCGGGACGTTCGGTTCGGTGCAGGTCTGTGTGCGAGTGAGTTTGCGCAATTTGTGTGTGTTTATATTCCCCCACTACATGTGCAGCTACAGGGAAGGCTCGACTCTTTAATATTAACAAAAGAACTCGTCTGTGATTGGGGTGGCAGTGTTTCCCGCAGCGCTTTATAGTTAGGGCGGCCACCTTGTCAACAATTGCCTACGTCCCTTCGAACTATCAATCAATCAACAGCTTTACAACTTTATTAATCCCAAAGGGCAAGTCAGTTCACACATCTCTGGTCATGCACAATCTATAAATAAGAAAGAAAAAGAAAAACAGAAGCTGTGATTGATTAATTGAACCACGTTAATCCTCGCAAAACTATGGTCGTCGCGTCACGGCCTTCACTTTTGCCTTCCGCTGGCACAAAATCTCCACCTCGCCCCCCCCCATTGACGTAACTGCAGCAGATCTGTGCCTGGTTGTTTTTTCTGGCCAAAAATATGAAGATTGAGTAAATGTTTATGCTGGAACTGTTAGTGCTGCACTTTACTTTTTGAAAAGTTTTGTTTACTGTTTACAAGGGGGTCCGGTCAAGTGGTAACGGAGGGAAACAGGGGCAGATTTTTTACATTCAAATAGCTCTTATCCAGAAACTAGAGGGAATATTGAAATAAGTAAGGTATTAGAATGTAGGAAAGAGTTACACTCCAACAGGGTAAAGTTAAACCTGTGATATTCTTTCAAGTTGTTGACCAAAAATTTAAAAACTCATTTTGGTAACAGAGGGAATGAAATATGCAGCACTTTTTGGGCAATAAATACAAACAGTGATGACTAGCGGTTTTCACTTACATATCCTTAACAAACTAGTTTGAATATTTGCTTCATATATTTTTCTACCATATGGTACAAGATTAGGTTGAAAAACCTCTTACTTTTTGAGTTATGAGATTTTTTTTTAAGGTCATGGTAAAGGAGGGAAAAGTAACGGAGGGAAAATTGTGCAAGCAAGTAGAAGGTGCATGATTTTACATCATTTGTCAGCTTTTTTCTTCCAAATACTTTAATATTACTTCAAAATGAAAGGAAACTATTTCTATAAAATATGTCAGTCCTTCCAAGCAAATTTTTATCATTTTAAATATATATTTTTTTGAAAAATCATGTACCTTCATCAACAGTTCAAAAATGGAATAACACAAGATATGATGAAATACATCCATTTATTTACATGATTTTTGGGTCTTTGAAAGTTGAGAAATAATGTTTGTTCCATGTTTCATACATGGTCTGTTTAAAACATATGTAACTTTAGAACCAAAAATGGTACAGAAAAAAGTTAAACAGTTTCATAAACTAGAGCACATATGTATCTGTTGAATACATTTTTATATCAGATGCATTAACTTGAATTTTTGGCCTTGCTGTATACTTCTGCTTGACCGGGACCAAATAATACATTTTTTTCCTAATATTTCATACACGCGTTGCTTATTTGAGAATATTTTATTTCACTTATTAGTATTAACAAGCAGCACTTTGCATTTATTTTATTTTCCCGTTTGTATAATGTTAAACCGAATTGTTGGTTTAACAAAAACACAAACAAACAACAAGCAAATGGTTTAGCACTTTGTTCCTATACTGTACCGTAAATAAACCGAACCGTGACCTCAAAATGTACGCACCAAACCGTGATTTTTGTGTACCATTACCCCCCTAGAAGGCATACATTATTTAAAGTATTTTGCGCTTTGAGGATATAAACAGACTAATACACAATTTCTCAAAATGTATGAATGAACCATAACACCACTCCGCATATGTTTTCGATGAGGTAGCCACACTCTAACACATCTTAAAGCTCAGTTTTGCGTAATACAGACGCTTTAAAGTGCCAGTAGCGACCCTGCTGTAGCTAAGGCGCGCTAACTCGAGCTAACTGCTAATTGAGAACACGCCGGTTTCCTCCCCTGCTTTCTACGTCCGGATATCTTCAAGGCAACCGCAAACACGCTATAATGTACGCTGATGCAACCCGGCGCCTCTTGCATAATTGCTCGCCGCGCGCAGTTGGTGGTAAGACGAATTTGCTCTAGATACGCATCATAAAAGCTAACCGTAGCATCCCGTACTGTATGTGGCTTAACATAGGGTCCGGGTAGTCTCTCTGATGTCGCTCGGGATGGAGGGACGATGAAATTTGCTTTTAACTTTGTGCCAAGTGGCTTTAATTATGCTGTGATGTTAAATTGGGTATGGAGGGCCGGAGCAGGAGGCGTTCGCGGGGAGACTGGCCCCGTGCCGAGCTATAGTGGAGTCACAGATACAGGCTGCAGAGAGGAGGGCTGCTGATGTCAGGTGTTGAAAGCGTAACATTTAAATCACGTTTTGAAAGTGTTATATTTGCAGGAAAAAAAAAAAAAAAAAAAAGACGCATTTAAAGGTTTACATGTTGTTCCAGAAGTGAATTTTTCTGAAATTGTGATCACATCGTTTCCAATCATCAGTGTTATAAGTCTGCATATTATTTTTGCAGACGGTTTACAATTCTATGCATTATTTATTCACTTTATACTCGGGGTGTGCATTTCCTGGCGTCTGACGATACAGTACATATCACGATACGCATGTCATGATTCAATACATCATGATTTTTACTGCCAGAATTTTGATTTCCTTTTTAATAAATAAATGAATGAATTAATTAATATGTAATATGCGACTGAAATAAAATTTTGTGGGGTTTTTTTGGTAGTCAACAGGTAGGAACTGTTGTTGTTTTGTTCGGTTCTGCTGGACCCCTTTTTAGAGAGGCACACCTGGTTGAGAAGTAGTAGTGTGGCGTGTCGGTAAACCAAGTCAATTAAAGTTAAAATAAAGTGAACGAACTTGTGTTGAAAGGTCATTCTACCTCCAAAGTATGGGTCAGCCAGCGATGTTTTTTATAACTGTTCATGTCTTTATTTTGTGTCTTTTATATTATACTTTTCTAATTGCTTAATTATTTTCAGTGTAGCCCACGTCTCATATACTGCCCATTCAATCACTCTGCCATCCAATACCATCATTTCACTCGCTCTGCCACAAGAGGCGCTGTGTTTAAATGTCGCCGCGGCATCTTGTCACTCACTTCCTGCTCCGGCTTGGACTGGCAGAAACGACAGAAACACCGCTCAATAAACTCATCAAATCACAACTGAAAATTGCCAAACTCAATGGTGAGTCAACTAAAGACTTTATTTACAAGACCGCATTGTCCGATGTAACGAAAGAAGCCTCAAAAAAGTTTAATGAAATAAAAACGGCACTTCCGCATTTGCCGCGACGAACTTTTCAGTTGTTTGTTGTCCCAAACTTTATAATATTGCATTATCAAGTAATATTATTTAAGTCTACTTCAAGTAGATAGATTAATTTATGAACTGTATGAAGGAAAGCTCGATTGATTATTTTGATTACGAGTTTTTTAAGTTAATAAGGGCTAATGAGTGTGCTCCATTCATCTAATTGGCTGCCAGCCCTGTCACTCAACGCACTGAGTCACATTTGGGTAAAAAGAATGAATTATGGAGTTTTTATTATTATATTGTTGCGCAACTATAAACTATAAACTATGAACTATGAATTATAATTTATGAAATGTGAATTATGAATTCATGAACAATGAAATATTAAGTTTGAAATATGATTTATGAACAATGAATTATGAAATATTAAGTTTGATTAATTGATGGAATGAAATGATAAAATTAGCTAATTTGTATATTTGAATATTGAATAATGAATTGTGTCAAACTATTTATGGGTTTTTTCCTGTGACCTCTGTTTTATAGGTCAGGTTTTTTTCCCCCTCCCAAAATCAATGATTCCTCTACTCCAGAGGTGGCGAGCTATATCTGAACCTACAGACCTGGTAGGATTGTTTTTTTTCCCCTCCTCCCTTCTCCTCCTAAGTTGGATTATGAACTTTTAAAACAAAAGGAATAAACATTTGCGTTTCGTTTTGCATCTCCAAACAAAGGAATGAACATTTGCGTTTGCGTTTGCGTCTCCACAAGCATTGAACTTTTTGCGTTTGCGTTCCCAAGGAAACTTTTAAAAAAAAAAGGATTTCGAAGTAAAAAACTGAGAGAAACCAAGGATTTGCGTTCAGACAAAAGAACAAAGCAAAGGACATTTAAAAAGAAGTCTTATTTGTGTTATTGTGTGGTCTTTTGCCACAATTTTTGTTATTCATTGTACAATATTAATATAATTATCTTTAAATCAGATCTATTTGTGTTGTTTTCTGTCATCTATCACAAGCTCCTCCTCAAATCTGGTTCTTCTGTTTACATTACATCCATTGCACATCTCACTAGTCTTAACACATAAAATAAAATAATAAAGTGTTACATTTGGCGAGCTAGCCAGGAGCTTGTGTTGATTGACAGTATTACAGTTTAACGTTTTGGGGAAAAACTGCAATTATGGAATTTTTTGAGAAGTCGGGGGTTAATGTCAATAATTCTGTGAGTGTTTCTGGTATTACACATTCATCAAAAGATAATGAAATACTAGATATTCTGAAAAAGTATGGTAAATACAAAATAATAGAAGTAACTGACATAACTCACCCCCTTGCTAAAAACCTGGTCATTGAGTTTAAGAGTAGTTCTGCTATGGCAGAATTAAAGAAAATACTCCCATATACACACACTTCTGAAAGTGATCCAAATCACACGTATTATGTTACAACGATTGAAAACACAGCAACAACTGAAACCCCACCCCTCAACTACATGGATGAAATCAAACAGCTTGCACGACGGAGTGGACAAAAATTTGAAATTGTGCTTCAAGATCTCATGTCACAAATAAGTGAGCACTTGGATACTGCAACTGGTGGAGAGGAAATTGCACAAAGAGTGGAACCTGAACCTCCCTTGCCTGGCCAGCAGGGGGAGTTTAAACATCAAATTCCACTCAGACTTTCTGAAGCAGACATAAATCCACCTCAAATTCAAAAAATGGTTGTGGAGCATGTATTAAAAACTGAAGAATGTGCATCACTCTCTATGCCCACCTTAAAACTCCGCTCTTTCTCAGGCAAGATACCAAAACCCCCACATGAAAGTGATTATGAAACATGGAGAGCACATGTAGAACTGTTACTGGCGGATGTGAATCTACCTCCACTTCATGTTACCCGGAAAATTTTGGAGAGCCTCTTATCCCCAGCAGCCGACGTTGTCAAAGGGTTGAAACCTGATGCCCTGCCTTCACTCTATCTGCGAATATTGGATTCAGCATATTCCACAGTGCAGGATGGGGAGGAATTATTCGCACAGTTTTTGAATACTCTGCAAGATCCTGGAGAAAAACCTTCCAGCTATCTGCAGCGGTTGCTGTTAACTTTGAATACAGTTGTCCAGCGTGGTGGTGTCACAGCAGCTGATGTTGACAAATATTTATTGAAACAGTTCTGTAGAGGGTGCTGGGACAATGGCATTATCAATAAGCTGCAGCTGGAACAAAAGAAAGAACGACCACCACCTTTCTCTGAACTGCTTTATCTGTTGAGAACCGAAGAGGATAGGCAGTCAACAAAAGAAGGTCTGATGAAAAAACACATTGGTTCCAAGCAGCGTGCCACCCTTCTCTCTCAAGGTGCTTGTCCCTACAGCCATAGTAACGATCCAGATACTATCTCTCTCACACAACTCAAGAAACAAATGGACATGTTGCAAAAGCAGATGGCAACACTTCTTGCTCAAACAAATCAGAAATCCAAAAATACTTACGGCAAAGAATACAATACACTTGGAAAAACTCAAAATACAAACAGCCGTCCAAGACCTGGATTCTGTTATAAGTGTGGTGAGGATGGACACATTGTTTCAAATTGCAACAAACCCCCTAATCCAGCACTTGTACAGCAAAAGAAAGCTAAGTTGGCTCAAAAACAGGCACAATGGGATCAAAATAATAAACAGAAATTGTTAAACTAAACTCAGTCTCTCCTGTGGGGCAAGCAGAGGCTGCTTTCACAAAGTGTCCCAATTTTGGAACTCAGAAACATTTCATATCCCTGCCACGAGGGCTTGTTGGAACAAAATGTACAGCTCGTGTCACTATCAAAAATACTCCATTTAACTGTCTACTGGATACAGGATCACAGGTCACCACAATACCAGAGTCTATCTACAATACATTTTTATCAGAGCACACACTCAGACCTCTGGATGAACTCCTTGAAGTGGAGGGAGCTAATGGCTCATCAGTCCCTTATCTGGGCTATATTAACTTGGACATTACCTTTCCGCCAGATTTCCTGGGCACGCCCATTGACATTTCCACTTTAGCTTTGGTGGTGCCAGATCTTAAACCCTCTCATCAGTCCCTTGTTCTCATTGGAACTAACACTTTGGACATTGTCTATGCTGTCCATAGCCAACAAAGTCCTGGTTTTCGACCTGTTCCTTTTGGTTACCGCACTGTACTCAATATTTTAGAACAAAGACACAAATCCAATCAGAAAGAACATCATGGACTGGTGAAACTTCATAGCCACACTGCACAAACGGTACCTGCCGGGCAGACCATGGTGTTAGAAGGCATTGCTGTGTCACACTTAATCACTAATGAAAAAGCAGTAATGATTGAACACCCTACATCCTTTTACTTACCTGGTGGTCTAATGATCCAGACTTGTCTTGTTGATTTTCCAACCCAGCAGCACCCCGTTTTCTTGCCAGTTCCTGTCACAAATGAATCCAACCATGATGTTACCTTACCTCCTCGTGCTTTGCTTGCCGAAATCAGTGTTTTCCAGTCAACTGCTTGTGCCATCCAAACCAACTCACAAACGACAAACACCTCACCTACACCGTTGTTTGATTATAAGTTGGACAACCCTGCACTCACACCTGAATGGAAAGCCAGAATCATCAATAAACTCAATAGCATCCCTGAGGTCTTTGCTAAACATGACTTGGATTTTGGCAGAACTGACAGGGTAAAGCATCAAATAAAGCTTACTGACCCCACACCGTTTAAACAGAGACCACGACCCATACACCCACAAGATCTTGACGCAGTTCGGCAACATCTTCAAGAGTTGTTTGATTCTAAAGTCATCAGAGAATCCGACTCACCTTTTGCTTCACCCATTGTGGTGGTAAGAAAAAAGAACGGAAGCGTCAGGCTCTGTATAGATTACCGGAAGCTCAACTTACAGACCATAAAGGATGCTTATGCACTTCCTAAGCTTGAGGACACGTTCACCGCACTTTCAGGGTCCCAGTGGTTCTCAGTTTTGGACTTAAAATCTGGATATTATCAGATAGAGATGGAAGAACAGGATAAGTGCAAAACTGCTTTTGTGTGCCCACTTGGGTTCTGGGAATTTAACCGGATGCCCCAAGGAGTTACCAATGCTCCGTCTACGTTTCAGCGCTTGATGGAAAAGTGTGTCGGTGAAATGAATCTAAAAGAGGTGCTCGTCTTTATAGATGACCTAATTGTTTTTGCGCCTACTTTGGAGCAACATGAGGAGCGACTCATGAGAGTTCTTAACCGCCTTAAGGATTTTGGCTTAAAGCTCTCTGTTGAAAAGTGCACCTTCTTTCAGAACTCCGTACGCTACCTTGGACATGTTGTGTCCCAGAATGGGGTTGAGACAGATCCAGAAAAGTTACAGGCATTAAGATCATGGCCTGTCCCAAAGAATCTGAAAGAATTGCGATCATTTCTCGGATTTTGTGGTTATTACCGAAGATTTGTTCAAGGATATTCCAAAATCGTACAACCATTACACCAACTAACATCTGGATACCCACCTTCGCAGAAAACAAAAAAGCCATTTGTGAGACCTGAAAACTATTTCAATCCAAAAGACCCATTGGGGAACCGCTGGACATCTTCCTGTCAACAAGCATTCGAAACAATAAAAGAAAAACTTACCTCCGCACCCGTTCTCGCCTTTGCTGATCTATCAAAACCTTACCTTTTACATACAGATGCTAGTTCAACAGGACTAGGTGCCATATTATATCAAGAACAAGACGGAAAAGAACGAGTGATTGCTTATGCCAGCAGGGGCCTATCCCGTAGTGAGTCCAAATATCCAGCCCACAAGCTTGAATTTCTTGCCCTGAAGTGGGCAGTTACAGAAAAATTCAGCGACTATCTATATGGCACTACTTTCACCATTGTAACCGACAGCAATCCCTTAACCTACTTACTCACTTCGGCAAAACTTGATGCTACAGGCTATCGCTGGTTGTCTGCTCTGTCCACCTACTCATTTAAAATCATTTACCGGACAGGCCGGCAAAATGTGGATGCGGATGGTCTTTCCCGCAGACCTCATGGTGACCTCAAAGCAGACTTTGTATCAGAGAAAGAAAAGGAAAGAATACTCCGATTCGCTGAGCAGCATCTTGAAAGTCCTAATGTCATAAACATAGACCAATGTACCGTCCGAGCACTTTCAGAGAGAGACAGCTAGTCTGTAGTGCTCCTGATTACGCCCTTATCCATTCTTTGTCCATGTCCACCAACAGTATTCCAGACAGTTACTCTGAAGACGAACAGTTTGCCTTACCTCTGGTTCCTCAGCTGAGTCCAGCTGAGATGGCTAAAAAACAACGTGCTGACCCAATTCTGAGCCACGTCATATCACAGTTGGAAACTGGCATATCACCACCCCCTCTCTTGAGAGAACAGTTACCAGAGCTGCCACTTCTTCTACGGGACCTAAATCGATTGGAGCTCCAAAATAATGTCCTAGTTCGAAGGAGGCAACTTGGCGACCAGCTACATTACCAACTTGTGCTACCCCAGGAGTGTCGCACGGATGTTCTTTTCAACTTGCATGACAAGATGGGGCACATGGGCATTGATCGAACCTTGGATTTGGCGAGGAACCGATTCTACTGGCCTCGCATGGCTCATGATGTCCAAGCCAAAGTTAAGATGTGTGAAAGGTGCGTAAAACGCAAAGCACCGCCACAGAAAGCTGCACCACTGATCAACATCAAAACCTCACATCCCCTTGAACTCATCTGTATTGATTTCCTGACTCTTGAACCAGACAAAAGCAACGTCAAAGATATTTTGGTCATCACTGATCACTTCACCAAATATGCCCTTGCCATACCCACCCCAAATCAAAAAGCTAAAACAGTTGCAAAAGCTCTCTGGGACAATTTTTTTGTACATTACGGTTTCCCTGAAAAAATACACAGCGATCAAGGACCAGATTTTGAATCCAAAACAATCAAAGAACTCTGTACACTGGCTGGAATCACCAAAACCAGAACAACTCCATATCACCCACGCAGCAATCCAGTTGAAAGATTTAATCGAACTTTACTTGACATGCTCGGAACCCTAACAGTACAAGAAAAAACCCACTGGAAGGACTTTGTAAAGCCACTTGTCCATGCGTACAATTGTACACAAAATGATACCACCGGCTTCACACCATACGAGTTAATGTTTGGTCGACAACCACGACTTCCAATAGACCTTGTTTTCGGTTTACCAGTCATCAAACCTTCCTTGAATCACTCAGAATATGTCCAAAAACTGAAATCTACATTGAAAAAGAGCTACCAACTGGCAGCTGAAAATGCAGAAAAAATCATGCAAAAAAACAAAACACGTTTTGATACAAACATCAAAGCATCTACACTCGATGTTGGGGATCGTGTTCTTGTGCGAAATGTCAAGTTGAGGGGGAAACACAAAATCGCGGATAAATGGGAGTCTCAGGTGTATGTGGTGGTAAAGAAGTCAGGCAACTTACCAGTTTATACTGTGAAACCTGAGGATGCAGAAAAGCCACTAAGAACTCTGCATCGAGACTTGCTTTTACCTTGTGGCTGCATACCTGTTACCTCCAATGTACAGCCTGTGCCTGTGGCAAAACCTGTAACACCTCCTTTACCACCTGAAGATTCTGACATTGATCATTCCTCTGACGATGAACAGATTGCAAGATGGTACCCTGAACCTGTTACTGAACCAGTTCGATTTTCTACCACTGTGACACTTCCCAGTTCACCTGAAATCTTTGCTCCAACCAGTTCCGAAAATCTTGATCCGCAACCACCTGAAACATTAGAACACGAACCTCTAGGAAGCCCTGAACCTGCTTTGTTGCCAGAACTGTCTATACATTCCGATCCGGTGCATGACATTGATGAGGCTGCTCAACCTGAACCTGAAATTGACAGCAGCTTACACGAACCTAACTCTGACTTGTCATCACCTGTCGACGAAACAGAACAACGTCCCACTAGAACCAGACGACCACCAGACAGATTTCAATATCAGCAATTGGGCCAGCCAATTCTGAAAAGCATGCAAACGATCTTCGAAGGACTTGGAAAGGCTCTGTTTCTGGCAGTGACAGATCACGACATCTCGTCCTCTGGCCAACCATCAGCCCATGTACAGGGACGTACATGAGGTCAGGGGGGGACCCTGTAGCCCACGTCTCATATATACTGCCCATTCAATCACTCTGCCATCCAATACCATCATTTCACTCGCTCTGCCACAAGAGGCGCTGTGTTTAAATGTCGCCGCGGCATCTTGTCACTCACTTCCTGCTCCGGCTTGGACTGGCAGAAACGACAGAAACACCGCTCAATAAACTCATCAAATCACAACTGAAAATTGCCAAACTCAATGGTGAGTCAACTAAAGACTTTATTTACAAGACCGCATTGTCCGATGTAACGAAAGAAGCCTCAAAAAAGTTTAATGAAATAAAAACGGCACTTCCGCATTTGCCGCGACGAACTTTTCAGTTGTTTGTTGTCCCAAACTTTATAATATTGCATTATCAAGTAATATTATTTAAGTCTACTTCAAGTAGATAGATTAATTTATGAACTGTATGAAGGAAAGCTCGATTGATTATTTTGATTACGAGTTTTTTAAGTTAATAAGGGCTAATGAGTGTGCTCCATTCATCTAATTGGCTGCCAGCCCTGTCACTCAACGCACTGAGTCACATTTGGGTAAAAAGAATGAATTATGGAGTTTTTATTATTATATTGTTGCGCAACTATAAACTATAAACTATGAACTATGAATTATAATTTATGAAATGTGAATTATGAATTCATGAACAATGAAATATTAAGTTTGAAATATGATTTATGAACAATGAATTATGAAATATTAAGTTTGATTAATTGATGGAATGAAATGATAAAATTAGCTAATTTGTATATTTGAATATTGAATAATGAATTGTGTCAAACTATTTATGGGTTTTTTCCTGTGACCTCTGTTTTATAGGTCAGGTTTTTTTCCCCCTCCCAAAATCAATGATTCCTCTACTCCAGAGGTGGCGAGCTATATCTGAACCTACAGACCTGGTAGGATTGTTTTTTTTCCCCTCCTCCCTTCTCCTCCTAAGTTGGATTATGAACTTTTAAAACAAAAGGAATAAACATTTGCGTTTCGTTTTGCATCTCCAAACAAAGGAATGAACATTTGCGTTTGCGTTTGCGTCTCCACAAGCATTGAACTTTTTGCGTTTGCGTTCCCAAGGAAACTTTAAAAAAAAAAAGGATTTCGAAGTAAAAAACTGAGAGAAACCAAGGATTTGCGTTCAGACAAAAGAACAAAGCAAAGGACATTTAAAAAGAAGTCTTATTTGTGTTATTGTGTGGTCTTTTGCCACAATTTTTGTTATTCATTGTACAATATTAATATAATTATCTTTAAATCAGATCTATTTGTGTTGTTTTCTGTCATCTATCACAAGCTCCTCCTCAAATCTGGTTCTTCTGTTTACATTACATCCATTGCACATCTCACTAGTCTTAACACATAAAATAAAATAATAGTGTTAATGTTTGATTTGGTAAAAAAATTCGTTTAGAAATATACCGTAAAAAGAACAAAATACACAAATTATTTAGACACTCAATAACTTCTTGTTATTATATATTTATTGTAAACAGGATGTACTTTGATTTTGTGAGAAATTTAAATTTATCTGGACCTGTTTTCAGTTTAACCGTTTTGAATTGTGCAATGAAGTATCACGATATATTACTGAATTAATTTTTTTCTTACACCCTTACTTCATACACAATGATCAGTTTGGAGCTTTTTAATCGGGAGGTCTACAGCCGTCTATGGTAGAGTGGAGTTCAGAATTTGAAGTCTTGGCAAATTTCAAGTCAGGAAGCTTATTATTAAAAGCCATATCTAGGCTAAGTGTTTTCAATAAGACAAAATAAATAAAATTTAACTGGAAATTGCAATCATACAATTCAAGAAAAAAACTCCCTATCTGTGAACCTGACAACAATGCAAGTTAGATTTAACGTGCAGAGTAAATCTTTGTAAATGCCTTAAGAATAATGGTGTGTAGGGGTGGAACGAGATACAGTTTTCACAAGATTGGATCTACAAGAACGACACAAGATCAGATTTTGACATTATTTAGTCTATAATAAATACATTGTGCAATCAGTCTCCAATTTTAGCCTCACAATTTGTGATTTATTTTACTGTGTTCCATCCCTCATGGTGTGTTGTTGTATACAGAAGGTAATAGCAGTGGTGAAGTGGGTTGAACGATTACACACTAACCAGAGGGTTGCAGGTTCAATCCTCATGAGGACCTTACACTAATTAAATATGTTCAGGTTAAATCAGATCCATCCATTTTGAGAAGATTTGTTATGTGTTTATTTATGTTTTAAGAGGAGGAAAAAAATTGTATTTTCAGTGTGTACTCAAGTATCAGTTTATTTCC